CTTCCACTTTCAACCTCTCATCATCACCAATTTCTTTTTTCCCACCACCCTCCACTTTTTTCTCCCTGCTGCTTGCTCACTTTGCTTTAAAGCTCAGCTCACCATTATTGCTCTTTCCTACCTTAACTTCATGTTATCATGATCATTTCTCATTTCTCATTTCTAAGTAGCCTTCATTCTCCATTAATCTTCCCTGTCTACTCCAGATTTCTGTCAGTCTTCCACCTCTGTTGACTTATTTCCACCCACTTATCGCCCCTCAGCACTCCTGTGCTTCCTAAACATTGCAGTCATATTTCCCCAATCCATTCTGATGCCTTATTCTTGTCTCTCATCAAACTTTCCTCATTTTCTTCCTCTGCTGTCAGTTTTCCTTTCTGTCTCTGCCTCCCTACACTTCCTCCTCCTACTCCCTTCTTCCTGTTGCAGTCCTTTTTTTTTCTTTCCTCCTTACTGTATCTAGGGCACGAGTGTTGAGCAATCTCTCCAAGCCTCTGACAACTGGATCAATCGTCAGTCCCCTGATAATAACCTACCATCCACCATCTGCACTATCCTGCCCAAACGCTGTCTGCCACTGAGCACCTTTATTTTCTCAATCCCCTTGTGGTTGGTTGATAGTTCAGAAATGCATTTTGTTCCCCTGATAAGGTGGAATCATGCTATCAAAGAAAAATGGCTTTTGTGGTGCGTGCAGACGACCCTGCGTGGGTATCTGCGGTACCATCTGCACGGCAACTTTGGCATGAACAGTGCCATCCTTTGTGACCGCAACGAGTCACCCTTCACCACTTGTTCAATCGAGGAAAAGCGAGTTCGCCTGCTTCTGTGTCTGAGTTTCCAAACTGTATCATTACTGTCATGTTGAGATCGGTTAAAGAGCAGCCTAGTCCCTCGGCAAAAGAGCAGCGACTACATACACTTACTAGTTTTGCTACAGAAACAGTGTTACTCATGAGAAATGGCTAATAGCTACACTGCTTGTAGAATAAGCGTTATGGTTGACATGTCTCAGATTAGTACAGAGCCATGGTTTCACTTTAGTAAATAGTTAATAATAATGTATGTAGATGGAGTGGAAGAACAGCTAACATCAGCTACATGAGGTTTAGTGATGATACTGAACCACAGTCGGCTTACTTAGTCTTTTTTTTAATGTATGAACACAAAATATCCTTTAAAGTATTTTTCTTCCTTTTTCAACCAAACCCAGTCAGTGATCTATTAAATATGTCAGTCAATAATAACTGCTACCACAATCTGATTTCATGCTTCGAACAGAACAAGTAGTTTTTCCCAGATCAGCGGGGATCATTTAGGTTGGTTACCTTCCAGCAGCTGCTCTTTGCTCCATTACATCCTTGCAAATCTTGGTGTTTTTTTATTTTTATTTTAATTGTTATAGTCCTATTTTGTGGGCGCTCTTGATGAGAAGTCGCCCACCTCTCGTCTGATGGCTGAATGTGAGGCTGCAGAGATAAGAGATGTGGCGTTTGCATTTGAGCAGCTTAAAACGGCTCCGATAGAGGTGAAGGAGACTGAACTGTAAACGGTGGATTCGACATCAAAAGCGGTGGCGCCGGGTCACAGGCGTGAAACGTCTTTCTTTGAATCCTTTGTGGATTATTAAGCAATCTGAACCCATCACAGGAAAAAGACTGCAACTATATGGAGAGATTATCCTGCATGTAAATACTTTGAGGTGGTGCTGCAGAGAAAGGTGTGATTTTCAAAAAAGTCTTTAGAATTGTATCTTTTCATATCAAAGTCAACAGTGTCTGTCGTGGCTGAGTATTTATCGAGATTTTCTAGGGTCTTGGAAAAATGCTGTTTGCTCACAATCCCCGTGCAAAATAACACAAAGTTTCAAAGAAGAATGGTGCGGGGGAATTGCAGAGCATTAGGTGTAAAGCTGCTGAAGAGCTTTCTGCACAAACTGAAGTAACCAAAGAGGAATTTTCTCACGGTTTGGGGGGAAAAAACTGATTGATTAATCAATATCGAAAAAAAAAACAGTTCGCAGTCCTAAATACATTAAACCCCCCCCCAAAAAAAAAAACCACCCCTTATTATTGTTTTTTAATTAAATTTGCTGTTTTAGCTGAGCGTGTGCTGTAGTGATGGAAAAATCACACTTCCATCGACTGTTGTCTCGTCACTTGTCAGGTCTTTTGTTGTCCGCACATGTACTGCAGGCACTGTACACGCTTTCAAGTGTTCATCTCACACACTCGGTCATGTACGCAAGCGTGATTTACACGGGCGTATTTCTAGCCACGTGTCATCCCCGTCTCCAGACTTATTGCTAAACAGCTAGGGAGCCCGAGCGGTGGAGGTGGAATCTCGTCTATATTCCCTGCCCATCCTTTATTGATGGCAGAGTAATCACAGGGCCAGAGTACAAATCCACTTACTCTCTGCATTGCCTTAAGTAATGGATTTATGAGTGCATTAAAGAGCCGTAGTCATCCAGAGGCCCCTGCCAGACTGTCTCTCTCCTTCATTCTCTTCCTGATCGACTGTCTTTGAGCCTCACTAGGCCTCATCTGCTTCTGCTTTCTCAGCGTATGTGATGTGAGATCTCTCCGTCTTCTGATTTCAATTGTCTCCTCACTATTGGCTCATTTTCACCCTCTCCCATCTAGGCCTGGCTCTAAGAGCTCTTGTGTGAGCCATCACTCCATTACTCTCCTTTTCCTTGACTTTTTGACCCTTTCTCTTCTTTATCCTTGGAGGAGCCTCGATTAGAAAACATTCTCCTCGTTTTTTTGTTGTTTTTCTGCTGTGCACACCAAAGAGTAAGGCAAAAGCAGAGATCATTCCACTCGCTGCTTCGGGGTCTTGAAATGAAGTCGGAGCCGAACTATAGTGACACAAAGGTGATCCACTGTGAGAGGTGGCAGTGTGGAAAGTGAAAATCATCCGAGTTTCTACTTTGAGCTCTGACTGGAGGAGATATGGGGATGCAAATAGAGAAGTTGGTGCAATATATCAACTTCTTCTTTCACTCTGTTGTTCCTTCATGCTGCTCCTCTATTCCTTTCCACACTGTCTTCCCTCTCCTCTCTGTCCTCCTTATTAAGCTCAGTGTGCAGCGACACAGCCGTACTGCACATCCCAGGAGAAGCTCGTCCTAGTGTGTGTGTGTGTGTGTGTGTGCGCACTGTCTCTCTCACACACACACAAACAGCAAGGGACATCACACAGGTAATAATACAAAATCCAGGGTAGTTAAAATGTTAAGCTTCTGACCAGTGATTGATTTTAAAGTAGGCTCGTTGTGACTGATCATTAAAAAAGTGAAAAAAAAAGATGAGCCATTATATAAACAGACCACCAGAGGAGTGTATTAAGAGACAGACAGATTTAAAAAGCTTCCAGTAAACTAAAAATAGCACATTATCAGCCAGTAATCATCAAGTTCTTAAAGAAGTCAGTCAAATGAGACCAAGTGTCTTTGAGTAAATGTTGTTAAATGTTTTTTCTCCCACCCCACTCACTTCCCATTACCACAGACTCCTCCGAAGGCGTGTCCCTCCAGATGGGCAACTCCAAAGACTTCATCCTCAGCTTGGACCTCAAGTTTATCTCCAACGGCAGCGTGTCTGTAATCCTTGAAACCACAGAGAAGGGCCCTCCCTTCACAATCCACTACGTGACCAGCACACAGCTCATCGCCTTCAGAGAGCGTGACATCACCTACGGGATTGGACCGCGAACCGCTTGGAGCACTCTGACCCGGGATCTGCTCACCGACCTCAGGAAGGGCGTCGGGCTGTCCAACACCAAGGCTGTTAAGGCCACAAAGGTCCGTTCAACTCAAAGCGCTGGTTCAAAAAGCACCTGTGCTCAAATATTTGTGGTCTAGTGACGATGCACTTGCAGCTTGGATAATTAGTTGATTAGTTGAACTGGCAGCTCTCATTTTAAAAGCAAAAGTTCCACAAAAAAAAACCTTTAATGTACTTTTTGTACATTTTTCACTACTTTTTCACATTTTATAGAAAACAGTCCATTAAGGAAGTATAGTTATATTTATGGTGATGATGTATGCATTTCATTATCAAAGCTACTTACAAGTCTTTGCCACTTGTATTGTGTCAGAGGGTTTCTTTGTGCTAGATTTAACTCCATGTATGTGAACTAAATACTGTAATTATTTGGCTTTATGAAGACTAAATCTGCAGTATGTAGAACTCATGAATGCCAAGTCCTAACTCCCTTTATCTACTGTCTCTTTTCAGATTATGCCCAGACGTGTGGTGCGATTAGTCCTGCATGGGCGTGGATTTGTTGACAACATCACCATCTCCACCACTGCGCACATGGCCGCCTTCTTTGCCGCCAGCGACTGGCTGCTGCGCAACCAGGACGAGCGAGGCGGATGGCCTATCATGGTCACCCGTAAACTAGGCGAAGGCTTCAGACCTCTGGAGCCCGGCTGGTACTCTGCCATGGCTCAGGGCCAGGCCATGTCCACCCTTGTGAGAGCCTACCTCCTCACCAAGGACCAGGCGTACCTCAACGCTGCCCTGAAGGCAGTAGGACCTTATAAGGTGCCTTCAGCACAGCATGGGGTCAAAGCTGTGTTCATGAACAAGTATGACTGGTATGAAGAATACCCCACCACACCCAGCTCCTTTGTGCTCAACGGCTTCATCTACTCCCTGCTGGGGCTTTACGACTTGACTGAGACAGCTGGAGAGAAGCTCGGCAGGGAGGCAGGGCAGCTGTTCAGCCGCGGCATGGAGTCACTGAAGGCCATGCTGCCGCTCTTTGACACCGGGTCCGGGAGCATTTATGACCTGCGTCACTTCATGTTGGGCACTGCGCCCAACTTGGCTCGCTGGGACTATCACACCACGCACATTAACCAGCTACAGCTGCTGGCATCTATAGACAACTCCCCCATCTTCAAGGATGTGGTCAAGCGCTGGAAAACCTACTTAAAAGGGATTCGTGCCAAGCACAATTAGACTAAACTCCAACCCACACACTATAAAGGCTGAGATGAGAAGATCGATTTATTCTGTGCGACTGAAGGAATGAATGAGCGGCCTATGCTCGCGTCGCGTGTCTGTGCACGTCCCAGATCTGGTTGAAGTCCAAAATCTGAAGTATGAGTTTAATCAGCTGAAGCTCTCAATACTCTCTCGTGTGCTCTGTTGCAGGTTTTTTAATTTCTGCAACATCCACTGTAGCTCTCCTCTCCCTGTTTCTTTTCTTTTCCTCCCTCTCTTGAGTTAGTGTTTGTAGTTATGCACAAACCTCATTTCAAAGTGAGAGTGTCTGCATTCAGGAAGGAAGTGTGTATGTGTTCGTGCGTGTGTGTGTGTGCGTGCGTTTTTAAAAAGAATATATGACATTGGTGAAAGATTAAAAACTCTGTGAATCACATTTCAGACATTCTTCGATGCATCCAGCACATTTTTCTTCTGCAATTGTATTTTTTTTAACGTCATTTCAGATTAAAGTTTATTAAAACACACTGTATATAACAGAATATATAATAATATTATAAATTATTTGAAGGAGAACGTTGCCAAAAAACAAAAAAGCGCATCTTTTCAATATATAAGAAGCATTTGAATATTTCACCACAACAACATTTTTAATGCAAACCCTTCAATACTAAACTGTTTTAAATTACAACACAGGACCTTTTTTTTTTTAAGTGTCTCACATTTAATGTTTGGTTAGAGATGTTTATTAGAGAATTCATCCCTTTGTGGAAATGCTAGAAAATCAAAGTTTTATGATTCTCTCTAAACACAGATTAATGTTAGCCAATAAATATAGTATTACGTCTTTAGTAGATTTATCTTTTCCCCTCTAAAATATGAGGCTTCTGTTAAGCTGCTTGAAAGCTGTTCTGAGTAATAATCAAGCTAGCTCTCAGTAGCAATGTGATTGTTCCTGTGGTATTCACTGAGATAAATCAATGCAGCCCTGCAATAATGCTTAAAAATGAGGAAGTTCTCATAATTAGCTGTAGCTTCTGTAATGTTGCTACCTGTATCCGATGGTCAGGCAGTGATACCACTGGGTAACCGTTTTTGTTCAAGGTTGCAGCTTCACATATGATTAACTTTGAGTTCAGCGTGTTTATTAAAACATGTGTGTCCCATGTGAGAAATCCCAGCTGGCTGAATTTAAGACCAGAATAAATGCTCGCTTCTTTTCAGCTGCACAATCTAAAGTTTTGTTTCAAAAAGAAAAACTCTGTTTCCTACTTACACGCGTGATCGCACGCCTGAACGAAGCTAAACGTTTAATACTAGATTAACCAAGAGGCATCAGTTAAAAGGTGATGCTAATGTGAAAACTTTTTAAATGCCAAACTCCAGCTCCCCATGGAACCGTCATCGTTATAATTTCAGATCTGTGTTTTTTGCTTGGTGTGAATATCAGCACCGTCAGTCGTAGCCACATTTTAATTCATTCTTGTGCCCACCCCCCTCGTTCCCCTCCTCCTTTTTGACCTTTTCGGCTCGTTGTTTACTCGGGAACTCGTCTGAAAAGCCTTTCTTCTGTAACTCATATTTGGAACATGATAATTGCGGGATACGAGCGTAGGTGGTGTAGATGTCTCTGTTGTGTATTGGAGGAGATGAACGTGGGCAGCAGAAGCACAGCTGCATCTCACTACAATGTTAATTCACACCATTTAAATAGACAATGCCAGGAAGTACTAAAGCTGGAGGTAAATTCCTGACGAGCATGCAAAGGCTCGGTCCCAGCAGGCTCTCGTTGCTCCTCTCAGCCGCTGCGAGTGCATGAACTCGGCGTTTTTAATCTGAGCGCTGCCCTGTTGACCGCCGAGCGCAGAGAAAGAGGCCTGCCTGTGCTCTAACAATTCACCCGGCTAATAGGCTGGAGAGCCTGTTCACGGTACAGTCGCTGCTCACGGATGAGTCAGCGTTCACCGGCATCGTACTCACAAACAACACAAAGCGGAGCCCTCAGCAACAATGAGGCTTTCATTGATCCAGCTTTGAAGATTTAAAGAAGCAGCAGATTGTTTTCTTCTGAATCCTGTTTTTTTTTTAAAAAATGTAACGCCAGTTTTTTGAGACAAAAATCGTTTTCCCACAAAGCCAGTTTTTCAGGTTATTTGAGTTTGCACTGGCAGGAAAAAAAATCAAAGGAACACTGAACATCCAAGCTCCTTTTTTCCAAACTGATTAACAAATCCCGACTTGAGTAGAAAGGCAGAACACAATAATGCACATTTAAACATCAAGTTTAATCACAAAAAAAACCGTTTGGTTCTCAAAATAATGGTTCTAATGTGTAAGCATGTCTCTAATCTATTTTTTATATAACCCTGCTTTGTCATTTATTGTTTTTGTACTCTTGTTTTATAATTGAAAAGTTACAACTGTGTCCAATAAAGGGGGAACCTTATAACTTTTTAACATTTATTTTCCATCAATCTTTTTTTTTTAAATGATGATTATATTCATTTTTATTCATTTTTCTCCTTTATAGGTTGTGGGAATGTTTATACCATAAAAGATGTTTGAGATCTTTGGATAATCTGTTAGGGTTTTTCTTTTTGTTGTTGTTGTTTTTGCTGATTCTAGTTTTCTTTACTTCCTGTTGGCTTTTTCTTCCTGTAAACACTTGCATAATTTATACACGATGAGCAGAAATATGTCCGTTGAGGGCGGGGGTGGGGGGTAACGTTCAGGAATAGAAGTCTTTGTGTGAGAATAACGAGCTCCGTGTTGTTTATACCAAAGTCATCGATTCGAGTGTATTTGTATATTTTTGTGCAAAAACCGACTTCCATTCAGCATTTAATGATGTAAAGTCTCCTCGGAGATGTCATGGAGAGACACTGCCTTTTGAGAAATGCTACTTTTTCAGATGTAGGTTGAGTAGATATGTAAATGCTTATTGTAAAAGGGGTTGTGTGCAACTAGAGATTAGTGTTTAGTAAGCTACTGTGTAAAGGGAAATGAGCCAATAGCTGCAGGTTCTCCTTGAATTTTTTTTTTTTTTTTTAATTTAATTTTATTTCTTTTTTTCCTCTGCAGAGGAATAAGAGAGTTTTTCTAGTTAGACAAAAGCACAACTGTCGGTTATCGTCACATGAGTTTAGTTGTATTTCTCTTTTATGGATTACTTTTTTCCTTTTCAGGACAATGTGCAACGCCTTCATTAAGAAAGCTGCTATTGTTATTCACTGTGTAACAGGTATGAGAGCTTCTTTCTCCTCATTTCAGTGGCACCCTCTCCTCTGTCTCTACACTCTTTGTTTCAACACGTCAGCAAATGGCCACTGAGGTCAAATGTGATTTATGCAATAAAATGTTTACTGGGGTCGTGACACCACGAGAGACCCAGAGTTGTTGTACAGACTTTGCAACCGAAGCACAATGTGCAAATGCTACCATTTTTTTAGTCCAATGAAGAGAGGTGTTTATATACAGAGTAAATCTTTGTGCTTTAAGGTTTTGCTTTTTAAAGGTGTAAAAAATAAAAATAATAATTAAAAAAATCAATAAATAAAAGCATTTTTTTCTTAAATTCCTGGTATGTTTTGTT